ACTGATTCAGTGTGGCCCTTTACGTGCGTCCTTATGTCGTCTCGACAGTACGTACCTTCAACTAACTTGTTTAGCTCCAATAAAATCCTACCAGGCATTCTTATGACAACGCTATGCAAAAAAGAGTTGTGCATATCAGTGAAGAGACAGCACATTGTTTTAATCGTCGCTTTGCGATCCTGTGATGTGTGCTTATGACTGACTTCGGGAGTAGTGTGACGACAAGTAAACTAAGGCAGCAAGAGGTGACTGTTTACGGGAAAGCTGACATGAACGTGCTGTTGCAAGAAGTCGTGACCCATTTGCAACAATTTGAAGCCCCAGACTATCTCTATGGACGAGATGCTTGGATAGTAGCCCCATGATCAAGAGGCGTTGGAATCGACCAATTTAGCCTGGTCTATGATAGCATATAACGTCAAGACGACCAACCGTACACTATTTTGATACAACGAGTGCAGATCTTTGACATATTGCAGACGACAATCTTTGTATCTTACATGAACCCATGACCTACAGCTAATTTGAACATCACAAAATAGAAAATGCGCTTGTATTAGCGTGAGTGTATTGATAGAATTGATATTACGCTTCATTTCTTTTGACAAACGGACAAACGAAGAATGCAGATTTGCCGTATCTGCTACGTAAGTCTGCCGACCATGCGACAAAGTATTCGCATGCGAAATGCGGTCATAACAAGCGGCTAAGCATCGAGAAGAATTTCTTGTTGTTGCTCTTGAGTGATGAAGTTTATGGCGAACCGACAAAGCAGAAGCACATTATTTCAGTCATTTTGCAAGAAGAGATAGATGCGTTGACTGATTCAGTGTGGCCCTTTACGTGCGTCCTTATGTCGTCTCGACAGTACGTACCTTCAACTAACTTGTTTAGCTCCAATAAAATCCTACCAGGCATTCTTATGACAACGCTATGCAAAAAAGAGTTGTGCATATCAGTGAAGAGACAGCACATTGTTTTAATCGTCGCTTTGCGATCCTGTGATGTGTGCTTATCACTGACTTCGGGAGTAGTGTGACGACAAGTAAACTAAGGCAGCAAGAGGTGACTGTTTACGGGAAAGCTGACATGAACGTGCTGTTGCAAGAAGTCGTGACCCATTTGCAACAATTTGAAGCCCCAGACTATCTCTATGGACGAGATGCTTGGATAGTAGCCCCATGATCAAGAGGCGTTGGAATCGACCAATTTAGCCTGGTCTATGATAGCATATAACGTCAAGACGACCAACCGTACACTATTTTGATACAACGAGTGTAGATCTTTGACATGTTGCAGACGACAATCTTTGTATCTTACATGAACCCATGACCTACAGCTAATTTGAACATCACAAAATAGAAAATGCGCTTGTATTAGCGTGAGTGTATTGATAGAATTGATATTACGCTTCATTTCTTTTGACAAACGGACAAACGAAGAATGCAGATTTGCCGTATCTGCTACGTAAGTCTGCCGACCATGCGACAAAGTATTCGCATGCGAAATGCGGTCATAACAAGCGGCTAAGCATCGAGAAGAATTTCTTGTTGTTGCTCTTGAGTGATGAAGTTTATGGCGAATCGACAAAGCAGAAGCACATTATTTCAGTCATTTTGCAAGAAGAGATAGATGCGTTGACTGATTCAGTGTGGACCTTTACGTGCGTCCTTATGTCGTCTCGACAGTACGTACCTTCAACTAACTTGTTTAGCTCCAATAAAATCCTACCAGGCATTCTTATGACAACGCTATGCAAAAAAGAGTTGTGCATATCAGTGAAGAGACAGCACATTGTTTTAATCGTCGCTTTGCGATCCTGTGATGTGTGCTTATGACTGACTTCGGGAGTAGTGTGACGACAAGTAAACTAAGGCAGCAAGAGGTGACTGTTTACGGGAAAGCTGACATGAACGTGCTGTTGCAAGAAGTCGTGACCCATTTGCAACAATTTGAAGCCCCAGACTATCTCTATGGACGAGATGCTTGGATAGTAGCCCCATGATCAAGAGGCGTTGGAATCGACCAATTTAGCCTGGTCTATGATAGCATATAACGTCAAGACGACCAACCGTACACTATTTTGATACAACGAGTGTAGATCTTTGACATATTGCAGACGACAATCTTTGTATCTTACATGAACCCATGACCTACAGCTAATTTGAACATCACAAAATAGAAAATGCGCTTGTATTAGCGTGAGTGTATTGATAGAATTGATATTACGCTTCATTTCTTTTGACAAACGGACAAACGAAGAATGCAGATTTGCCGTATCTGCTACGTAAGTCTGCCGACCATGCGACAAAGTATTCGCATGCGAAATGCGGTCATAACAAGCGGCTAAGCATCGAGAAGAATTTCTTGTTGTTGCTCTTGAGTGATGAAGTTTATGGCGAACCGACAAAGCAGAAGCACATTATTTCAGTCATTTTGCAAGAAGAGATAGATGCGTTGACTGATTCAGTGTGGACCTTTACGTGCGTCCTTATGTCGTCTCGACAGTACGTACCTTCAACTAACTTGTTTAGCTTCAATAAAATCCTACCAGGCATTCTTATGACAACGCTATGCAAAAAAGAGTTGTGCATATCAGTGAAGAGACAGCACATTGTTTTAATCGTCGCTTTGCGATCCTGTGATGTGTGCTTATCACTGACTTCGGGAGTAGTGTGACGACAAGTAAACTAAGGCAGCAAGAGGTGACTGTTTACGGGAAAGCTGACATGAACGTGCTGTTGCAAGAAGTCGTGACCCATTTGCAACAATTTGAAGCCCCAGACTATCTCTATGGACGAGATGCTTGGATAGTAGCCCCATGATCAAGAGGCGTTGGAATCGACCAATTTAGCCTGGTCTATGATAGCATATAACGTCAAGACGACCAACCGTACACTATTTTGATACGACGAGTGTAGATCTTTGACATGTTGCAGACGACAATCTTTGTATCTTACATGAACCCATGACCTACAGCTAATTTGAACATCACAAAATAGAAAATGCGCTTGTATTAGCGTGAGTGTATTGATAGAATTGATATTACGCTTCATTTCTTTTGACAAACGGACAAACGAAGAATGCAGATTTGCCGTATCTGCTACGTAAGTCTGCCGACCATGCGACAAAGTATTCGCATGCGAAATGCGGTCATAACAAGCGGCTAAGCATCGAGAAGAATTTCTTGTTGTTGCTCTTGAGTGATGAAGTTTATGGAGAATCGACAAAGCAGAAGCACATTATTGCAGTCATTTTGCAAGAAGAGATAGATGCGTTGACTGATTCAGTGTGGACCTTTACGTGCGTCCTTATGTCGTCTCGACAGTACGTACCTTCAACTAACTTGTTTAGCTCCAATAAAATCCTACCAGGCATTCTTATGACAACGCTATGTAAAAAAGAGTTGTGCATATCAGTGAAGAGACAGCACATTGTTTTAATCGTCGCTTTGCGATCCTGTGATGTGTGCTTATCACTGACTTCGGGAGTAGTGTGACGACAAGTAAACTAAGGCAGCAAGAGGTGACTGTTTACGGGAAAGCTGACATGAACGTGCTGTTGCAAGAAGTCGTGACCCATTTGCAACAATTTGAAGCCCCAGACTATCTCTATGGACGAGATGCTTGGATAGTAGCCCCATGATCAAGAGGCGTTGGAATCGACCAATTTAGCCTGGTCTATGATAGCATATAACGTCAAGACGACCAACCGTACACTATTTTGATACGACGAGTGTAGATCTTTGACATGTTGCAGACGACAATCTTTGTATCTTACATGAACCCATGACCTACAGCTAATTTGAACATCACAAAATAGAAAATGCGCTTGTATTAGCGTGAGTGTATTGATAGAATTGATATTACGCTTCATTTCTTTTGACAAACGGACAAACGAAGAATGCAGATTTGCCGTATCTGCTACGTAAGTCTGCCGACCATGCGACAAAGTATTCGCATGCGAAATGCGGTCATAACAAGCGGCTAAGCATCGAGAAGAATTTCTTGTTGTTGCTCTTGAGTGATGAAGTTTATGGCGAACCGACAAAGCAGAAGCACATTATTTCAGTCATTTTGCAAGAAGAGATAGATGCGTTGACTGATTCAGTGTGGACCTTTACGTGCGTCCTTATGTCGTCTCAACAGTACGTACCTTCAACTAACTTGTTTAGCTTCACTAAAATCCTACCAGGCATTCTTATGACAACGCTATGCAAAAAAGAGTTGTGCATATCAGTGAAGAGACAGCACATTGTTTTAATCGTCGCTTCGCGATCCTGTGATGTGTGCTTATGACTGACTTCGGGAGTAGTGTGACGACAAGTAAACTAAGGCAGCAAGAGGTGACTGTTTACGGGAAAGCTGACATGAACGTGCTGTTGCAAGAAGTCGTATAGGATTTGCTTGTTTATAATTCTCACATACATAAAGTGATTAATCTATACAAAAAGATATGATAATACTAAACAGCCGAGAATGCCCACCTCTTATAAATTGATGCAGCATTCGACCATAAATCTACGACGGAGTCGGTATTTTAGCTATACGGTCTTGTACACTTGTATAAATAACAGATAATACGCAATAGATCAAAACGCATACCATATTTGTTAATCTTGTGGTCCACTAGTTGTGTCTGGTACTATTATATCAGATTTTTTTATTATATTTATCTATTTTGTGGCACATTTCAATCTGTGAGATAGTTGAAGATTCTTACAACCCTTCCATCTTTTCCCTATTTATCTTTGATGGATCAAGGCTGGCTTGATTCCATTACGACAGTCTGAATCATGCGACGACTTTTCCCCATCTCTTGTTCTACACGATGCCATCACACTGCTATAACCTGCGGTTTTTCTAACGAATTTCAAAAGCGAATGAAGTTTCAGTGAACCGAAAAAAATCGGCTCCATCCTACTTTGGTGTTGACCTCCCATCTTTGGCACGCTTCGAGACAAGGTTTCCCCGAAATCCGAGCAAAAGAATTCAGTTGCGTCACACCATGTGAGTCGGGAAGTTCAGCAAGTCCGGCTGCAGGCGGCTCCATGCTTCGACAAGGCGCGCATGCTCTTCTGGATGCGAATAATGCAGTGCGGCAGGATCCTACTCCAGCGTAATGCAAAGCGAAATGTACGAGATTAGTCACAGCGTAATGGTAACATGTAATCCATGACAGCTGTCTAGCGTGTATCCGACCGGGGTATTCATATCAAAAGTACTTCGTCCATATCGCATTTTGCACAACGCCGGACAAACACAGATCAATGGGAAACGAACCTCGGCAAAGCACACAAACATTGTCGCGACGATGGAGTCCAGAATGGAAGACACGGTCATGCACATGGCAAAACCGATCGAAGCACAAGCCACGAAGGCCAGAACCACGACGTTAAAGGTCTCTGCATATGTTCACAATCATAAGAAAAGCACGTAAGTAACAACGCGTCGTCCCATCAAACGACTTCATACCACGAAAACACGTACGACACTCGTTCGGGTGCTCGGCAAGTTCGTCTGGTGTGCATCGCAGCGCTATATACAGCCAGATCGATCCAATTACTCCGGACATGGTGCCTGTTATCATCAGAAGTCAAAAAAGGTCTGTTCAAAGAAGTTGATCCCATATATTTACGCCCACAACGTACCGGCAACCAGACAACCGATTGCAAGGACACTCGAGATCAGTGAATCATTCAGTAAAGCTGTCCACCCACGATCCCGGAAAAGGTGCATTGTGTCTGTTCCAGCAAGCCAAAAGTCTTTTCCGTGCAACGCTACCTGGCAAAATGCGTACTTGTTGAAATACTGCATATTGCGCACGACCAGCTTTACCAGAAACTCCAGACACGCGTTGGCAGTGCCCTTGGCCCGTCGTCTCGGCGATGATAGCAAAAGCGTGTGCAATGCGCTCAGCGCAGCGACTACCAACGAGCCGACGCAGATCGAGCCGAGAGACGTTGTAAGCGCACGAGTCTGCGCCCGCTGAACTGTGTTAGCATCTTGAGAGCCGTACCACCACTCGCCAACGGCGCCAGCAGTGATGCAATGTACTACGTTTTTAGCAACCTGCATAAACCAGTAAAAGCTGTGATGATGATGGCACCACAAAATCGCGTCAGAAGGCGGCGGACACCCTTGGCACTACAACAAATACACACCTTAGCAGCAGAAAGAAAACACATGTGTTGCCAAACAAACTTGAATCGTGGAGATTGCCCACTGCCTTAGCAAGGACACCCACGACGGCTACACCCCATATAATGGCCCACACTCCCTGGGCCAGCAGAGCAATGTATGCCGACGTAATCACGCCAGGACACATCCTTAAGATGCGAGAGGCGGCTGTCAAGTTGCATGCAGCAAACGCAATTGATCTTCGGGCAGACGCGTAGAACGTGATAATCATGAAGGCGAAGAATAGGTTGAGAAATCCGATAGCCTTGCCAGCCATGCCCGAGTCGTAGAAAGCTACGAACGATGCTGCAACAAAGGCAACAATGCCTCCTTTAAAGGTCCAAGATATCACGCGCTTGGCCTGAATCTGCAGCACCTGCAGCCACAACGCCGATACGACGCCGCCAATGCAGGAGGTCGCCAAGAATAAAATAAAAATCTTGAGGCCGTGGGACGACTCGTCCTTGTGGTGCACGGTAAAGTAAAGACTCGAGACGTTCGGTAGCCCATAATAGAGCTAAAGGAAAAAGCACGACAATAAAGAGGAACGAAGGCACTATCAGTATACCTTATTGCAAACATAAAAACAGCGCTAGTCTCTCGAGTAAGTACGGACCGCGATGAAGCCCACAAGTCCACAGTTGCCAGCAAAGGAAACTGAAAAGAGCAAGTCCTGGTGCTGACCGCGTCTCCCCACGACGGCCTGCCGCGGATCCTTTTCGAGCAGCAGCTCCTCGTCCGCTCGGTCAAGCTCCATGCGCATGCAGTGCGACGAAGAAAATGCCTTCTTGCGTCAGATTGGTCGAAATCAAGGCGATAACTCGACCAATCAGAACACAGCTCAATGATTTAAAGGCTCTACCCGTCACTTGCATGGCGCAAACTCATGCGCCACATGACGGGCGAAAGCGACAAATGGTACAATGGACGCACGTGATGCAAAGGTTGCGTACAGTGGATGGAAAGGATCCCATATAACATATCGGGGTTCCGTCGCTGCTGATGTGTCAAGGTAATGTATACAACTTGATTCAGGATCATGGTAAAGCGAAGTATACAGAAAACGCATGTTAGAACCTTGAGAGAAGGGATGATTGAGTCTTCTAGCACGTCGAGTCGAATTACTAGAAGCTGGTGAGGATGTTGCAATAACTCGACCATTCGAGCGCACTAACAGCCGTCTGTACTTGTCTGTTTGACATGGGGTTTGCATTTGCCGAACTTGAAGTAGACGGTCCCCAAACGATTATTCGACAAGTCGATCGCCTCATTGTCAGTATTGCACACTGCAAAGTTACGCTCTTATAATGTCTCCATTTTCTAGCGCTTGCACGATTGATTGTATGTCTTTCGTGATTAGCTTGACGACCATAAATTTGGTGCTGGCGAAGAATGGGTCGCCACGAAGTTGCAAGAGTACTTTGAGTCGTGGCAGTAGTCGTCGTGTGAGGCACATAAACGATGAACTTGCAAGTGTTCATAACATGTCTTTGCAGAAACTGGCGACTTCGCTTATTGCCTAGTACTATGCTGACATCCACCAACGCACCTTGGAGAAGTAAGTCACTTATATAGCACCATTCCTGAGTTAGGTGAGACCGCGATCATGCACGTACCCTCACTGGCCCCCAAAATGAAGGATCAACGGCTTCGATCAAAATTTGGCTGGATAGAAGATGTTCTTGGAAGCTTAATTAGCATAAAGGAACTTGGTATTGGCAACTTTGTATCGAATGCTCGCCTTCTTATAGCACTCGAGTCGAGAACAACCTTCGTCTCTATGTTTGAAGGCAGATAAACACAGTGCTTGTTCATAGAATTGTCTTGCGTATGGTAGACGTAACAGCACAAATATACTGTCTATTTCTCAGTAGGCTCGGTTACTCGGCGTCACCACACTCGTGCAGCCGTACTCGGATCTTGTGTCAAGCATAATCGTGTTCAGCGAGCATCACCTGTGTGCTCTAATGTCTATCGCATTATTTACGCTTGTTCATGCTTGCAGTGACGTCACGAGTTTTGTAACCTGCCGATAGCTGACGAGTCCCCGGATGGCTCGCCGTCCGACCAAAACCTAAAATAGTATCTGATGCAGTAGCCGATGGACGACACACAATTTTGGTTCAACGTTCAGCGGCTGGAGCCTAACACTGACACTGGGAAGCTATGACAAAATTTAGACGTAATATAAGCTTGCACTCATCACTCACTCTAACTTCCGTCCCCTTTGACGTCGAATTGCAAGTGCTGGTAGCTAATGGCGTAAGGAGTGGACAGTCGTAAGCGGCAAACGGATCGTCGTGAAATTCATTGCTCGCACGGTTTGCGTTGAGCTGTAGTAGTAACTCGCTTCTTGCTTCACATAGATCAGAATGCTGATGCTACTGTGTACTACATAGCAAACTAGATCTGCTTGAATATCCTGGCTCGAAATTTATCGCTGCGTCGCATGCTATCGTGCACTAAATCTGTCATTTATGTTAGGCGCTCGGATGACTTTCCATATGATCAATATTGATTCCCTAGATATTGCAATTTTGTTACGCGCAACTTTTGACTCTGCTAACCTCTCAACACTTTATTGGCGATCATGCAACCGAAGTGCTTTGAACTTCCTATGCGACATGTATTTGTTGTTACAATCGAAGCAGGCCGTGCGCGTAAACACCAACCCAGACAAAAACACTTTTGCGAAAGCAAACCACGTAGCATTTGTACGCAGATCGAAGAGGTTAAGCTCAAATGTGCTTATTCGGACGCAGAGCGCAGCCGAATACAATCAGCTACACAAATGCACGAACAACGGTAATATATCCTGTGGTATGCGTTTCGCTGATCAGTAGGTGGCCGTTACTGCAGCCGTGAGTTTTGCACTGTTACATCGTCCACGGCTTCAGGTTGACCAAAGCTGGTCCAATCGCTCAAAATTCCTGCTGTAGTTACTGCCCCTTACGACCCGCGGACAAGGGTTCGGTGCGCTTCGGTTTTAATCCAATTTTGCCGCGCAGTAACCCGTCGACAAGAAATGGGCCAGGGCAAAAGTGTCGGGGGCAGAAGGGCGACAAATAGCACCAGTTGCTTACATTCACTTTTCCTAGAGCCCATTCTTTATCAATGACCTATTTCGAAATTACATATACAGTCTTCCCTCTGCTAAGTTATCCCCGGCTACGGAATAACCTCCGGTAAGTTATAGGATTCGGTCTCCACCGACCTCGTTCTATGGTGACTACGGAATGAGTTATACGGAATAGCCTGAGGGCCAAATACAACTTATCAGAGGGAATATTTTTGTCCGCCGTGAGCAGAAATATTGTACGCAGAACCTTTTTTTTTGTTATTCACTGCAAGAAAGGAGTGGAAAGAGGAGAGGAAACTACTTCAGCCAGGAATCAAGTGTGGCCTGAGTGGTGCTCGCACTACGGAGATCAGCTTGGACTTGGCGAAGGGTGCGGTGAGCTATACGATGGTACTCCTGAGAAAGGTCGAGAAGGGCGATGGATAGACTAAGGCTGGCAAGCTTTTCAGCCTTCGAATGCTTTTCCACCTCCTCCTCCGCCTCAGCAGCACCTTCCTCCTCCCCATACGGATCCTCAACAAGCTTGATGATTTCGGCATCGGTCAGCTCCGCATGCGCCGTCTCCTCCTCCTCAGCCGTATTGAAAAGAGAAGCGATCGACATGGGATTGCGGAGCGGGAGCCTTTATAGCGCCGAAACAAGATCCTGTTCCACGCGCTGCTCCTCTACTGCAGCAGCTGTTGCCTCCTGCTGGGCCTGCTGGCCAACAGTGCCGGCTTCGTTTTCACCCCCACCAGTCGGCAGAGCCGGACCGTCCATGAGTCCCGTTTGACGGAAGCAGTTGGCGATTGTGGCACTGAAAATCTCGCTCCACGCAGCCAGCGACCAACGCATGGCCGTGAGCTGATCAACCTTGTAAAGGTTGGTTTCTCCGCGCTCGTCACGGTCCAAGGCATTCTGCAGATGCAGCCGGCGGTAGTGCCTCTTGAATGCGGCAATGATCCCAGCATCCATGGGTTGGACCTTTGAAGTCGTATTAGGGGGGAAGAGCCTGGACCGTGATGTTGGTGAGTTCCAGGTCAGCAACAATGTGTGAAGGAGCGTTGTCCATGAGAAGCAGGATTTTTCTATCCTTTTGCTGTGGTCAACGCGTTAGTCAAACCTCATTTACTGTACCACAACGATGATGTTCAAGGCATGCCCCAAATTACCTTCATACTTTTGTCGACGTCTCCCAGCCATTCCTGGAAGAGTATGCCAGTCATCCAGGCTTTCTTGTTGTTGCGGTAGAGAAAGCCCAGTCGCTCAGCTTTCTTGCGCCCAAAACACCGCGGCTTTTGGCGTGTCCAATGAAGAACGGCGGGAGTTTGTCGGATCCATCAGCGTTTGTCGTGAGAGCAACTGTGATGCGCGTCTAGAATAGTTGTTAGTGTCAGAGAAACGCAGGAAACCAAGATGAGAGCAATAATGTACCTTGTCTTTATTAAACCCTTCGACCTCTTGCTGGGCAATCGTTCTGTCGGGCGTCATACTGTTGAACAACCCTGAACAGAAATTGAGCCTTTGAGATGCTTCTGTACTGTACAATGAGTACAGTACTGTACTGTATTCTCAGACCTACCAGTTTCGTCCATGTTGTACACGTCACGTGGAGTATAACCAGCAACCACGGCCTTGAGGTGTGGAAGAACCTCCTCTAGAGCGCCCATATCTGCTGAGCCACTCTCGCCATGAATGCGGACAGCTCGCAGTTTGTGGCGCTGCTGGAATTTGTGGAGCCACCCATTCGAAAAGCGGATGTTTTCCTCCGAGACGCCCATTGATCCCGCAAAAGTCTGAGCGTTGGCCCGTATGAGATCTCCAGTGAGAGCGACCCCACGGTGCTGGCACTGCGAGACCCAGAAGGCGACGGCCTCCTCTACAGCTGGGTGCTGGACAGTCCGAGGACGCTTAGCGCTGAGGTTAGTGGTGTCCATTGCCTCAAGCTCCTTCCTTTTTTTGATGATTTTGCTGATCGCTGCCTGGGAAAGTGCCTTCTGGAGGTCAAAGGCGTCCTTTGTCCAAGCCGCCAGGGCAGTCTGGGTGATGCGCGGGTTAGCATCCTGGTGCTTGCAGATGCGCAGCTTCTGCTCGTTGGTAAGACGTATCTGCGACATCTGTTGTGAGTGAGCAAGGTACAGTTGGTAGAACTTCTTAACCAGAAATAGCAAAATCACCAGAGACTGGTGGGGCAACCAAAATCACAAAATTGTCAAAGGGCACGTGACACGTGACAGACAGGTTTTAGAAGCCTGGAGGTTTGTTGCGTTTTTGATTCTTTAATTAATTAAATTATTAATTTTTCCGCAGCATTTTTCTGCTATGGAATAACCTCTGCTATGTTATAAGATTTGCCTTCCACCAAGTCTATAACTTGGCAGAGGGAAGACTGTATACCGAAGAGCTTTCCGGGGCACGCATGACACTTGTAGGCGAATTGCGCAACGGTCTCGTTAAATAATATATTTGCCGGGTCAGACGTGGATCAAATTTCTGCAAAGCATGTTCGTGTATGAGAATCGGCTACACGAATTTAACGATGCACGAAGTGTGGATGACGGAGCATATACCTGGTGTATAATGCTTGTGCTGTTCCGCAAACGCACATAGTCCGTGATACATTGGAAATGCCCATAACGTCAAGGCTCAAGGGACTACTGACAAAAAAGAACATCGAGCTCTCGAGATCGGTATTAAGC